TTAGCTGTGGAGGGCAGTGTCACTGGCCCTCATATGTGGGATCCGAACCGGGGCTCTCTGGCATCCCAAGCGAGTTCTTAACCATCGCGCCTCTCGGCCGGCCCGCTTCCTTTCTGTCTTTAAAGCAATGTAAATTTTTGCCGTAGTTACTAACACCTGTTCGTTTTATTTCAGGGGTACAGGCATGGATGGGAAGAAATGCAGCATATGGATGTTTTTACCTCTTGTATTTACTTTGTTTACTTCAGCTGGATTGTGGATAGTGTGAGTGTTCTCTTATTCAATTATTTAAGAACTCAGGTGCAATGTAGATGAAAATGTAAAGTTTTGATAGTATGTATCTATACAAATGTATTTATAAATACTTTAAATTAATGTTTATGAGTTTAAACCTTCCGAAAGTCCCCATTTCTCTTCCCTTCTTCTATTACCCAAAATAAGTAACAAGAGTGAGTAATAAATTAGGCAAAGTGGGTGATGAATACTAGATTTATTTTGTGTTCTTGTGTTCTTCCAGTAATGAGCATTCTATAAACTGGTGAGATGGGTTCATTATTTGCTAGATTTTCTGATTTTAAACTAACATGCTAAGGATTTCATTCACAGTCCAGTTCATAGTCCAGGATTTTTTGTGACTGGGTCTGGTATGTTTATAAAATAGGTATCATTACATTGGAAGTCTTGGCTTATCACAAAATGTTCTCACACTTGCTTATTTCAAATACCATTCACTTGTAGAAAATTATTTCAGTTCCTTGCAGATCATTAAGAAAGGAGGGGAAATATTCCTGAAAATTAGAAAATTTGAATTTTAGAATTGTAAGGTCTTATTTCTTTGTTTTCCAGTTTTCAGATTATAATGATTGTCATTAATTTGGGGGATGTTCTGAAAATTAAGGAAATAATATTAATAAAGACATTTGAACTTCCAAGAGCTAAATGATCTATATATAGGTAAAGCATTGTAATAAAAGAGCTTTCTCCAGTTAAGAAATAAATAAATATGATTTAATGTGGCTAGTCAAATAAAACTGGGAAACAAATGATTCTTGTTTTTTAAAAAAATTTCTTTATTTTATAAATTTTTATTGTTCTTTCTTTGCAGATACTTTATAGCTGTGGAAGATGACAAAATTTTCCCATTAAATTCAGCTGAAAGGTAAAGTTGATCTCTGGGTAATTCATTGCTCATCAATAGACCTAACAAAAACTTTGTCACTGGTGAGGTTAAACTATGCACAAATGACTGCTTTAACCTGCGCTTCTTTGTTTTCTGTTATCCAGGAAACCTGGTGTGAAGCATGCACCATATATAAGGTAATTTGATAATTCTCTTCTGATCTGTTGGATCTTAGGAAAAGTTGGGAGGGTATCTTAGTTTGGGCTACTACAACAAAGTAGCATAGACTGCGTGGTTTATGAACAACAGACATTTAGTATTTCACACAGCACTGGAAGCTGCAAGTCCAAGATCAAGATCAGGGTGCCAGCATGGTTGGGTTCTGGTGAGGGCCCTCTTTTGGAGTGTATACTGTCATCTTCTCATTGTATCCTCAGAGAGAGAGAGAGAGAGAGAGAGAGAGAGAGAGAGAGTTTGTGAGAGAGAGAGAGCGCTCTCTGGAAGCTGCAAGTCCAAGATCAAGATCAGGGTGCCAGCATGGTTGGGTTCTGGTGAGGGCCCTCTTTTGGAGTGTATACTGTCATCTTCTCAT